TCTTTTTAAGTGACATATGGTCTTCTAGGTTGGTGGGCTGGCTTTCCGAACAGAAGCTCGCGGAGGGACATATTCGAAAAAGCTGCCCTGTCTGCCCCTTCGTCAGCCGCTGAGGCCTCCGAAGCCAGGGTGCTACGGCACACGCGCATGCTGCGCGCAGTCTTTCAATCGATCACGGTCGCCTTGGAAGGTGCTTCAGAAACCTGTGAGGGGGCCAACAGTACTAGCACGCCGTACTGGGACTTCAGGTTGAGGTTGTTGGCCCAAGTGGAGTCTGTGTAGGTGAGGATGACACTCGTCAAGCTGATCGGTATGTCCTGGTAGCACAAGCCGTGAGTACTCGTCAGCTTCAAGTAATCAACTGTCTCGTAGAGACGATTCAGGTCTTGGTAGGAAGTCAACTGGCCGCGATTGGGGAGGCTGACAACCAGACCAATCTCAGCCCTTCTCGACTAAGGTGATCCCCTTGCCTCTGTACGAACCGGGGTGCAACTTGTCAACGATGACCACCGATCTCCACACAAGCAGATTCTCAAGAATCGTTTTGTCGAAGTCTTCGTGGAACGTGCAAAGGAAGTCGTCCACGGGCACTATCATCACTGCCCGAAGTCGATTCTTGCTGTCGAGACAATGAGACAGGCATTTGTCAAAGGCAAATGTTGCCTAAACCCATTTTCGCGGGCTCTTTTGAAAACACGGCGGCTCCAGACTCTCCGATAGGCCGCCCTGAGTTTGAGGATCCGGCGGGACAGCTGACATGACCCGACGGACCTCATCTCGTGAAAGAGGACGGATGACGCCCCAGATCAACCAGTTGTCGTGCTCGACTCATACGGACTCCAGGTACTTCTCGTAGGAGGCGCGGGGAAGGTTCACGAGTTCATTCCAAGGAAGTTCACCGTCGAGTTGTTTGAGCTCTTGCCTCGAGCGGGTGCAGTTGTTTGACGCGGTCAAGGTCGAGGCGTCTTCTCTGTTGTACTCGCTGTCAACCTTGACCTTCAACAACTCCTGCTTCCGGGCCTGGCTGTTCAGGTAGCACTTGTAGAAGGAGTCGAGTGAGAAAGGAGGTCTGTAGTCGTCTACGTAGCCGTTGTCTACCAGGGTGGCCTTGCCGAAGTCGTCCACAGAGAGCTTGTAGGCACCCGAGGCGTATAGGCCGTCTGCAGGCCTCTTCTGCAGAAGCCGTGAAAAAGTTGTAGCTCATGATGGTTGGCTGCTCTCACTTGCCTGTGGGGTCGCGGGAGCTGGTAGCTCGGAAAAACCTTTGTGCCTCAGGGGTACTCGGCCCAGCCAAAGCTGGTGTTTCCGGAATTCCAGGACTAAAGGGCAGCATGCCCGGCGTAACTGGTGCAGCTTGTTGGTCAGGTTGCGGAAATGCATGTTGAACTTCACGATGTCAGCCGGAGTCGGCGGCGCGGCGATTTCCTTCGAGGAGCGACTGCGTTGCCTGTCTGTAGGAGTGCGTGATCTCGGTCTTGGTCGCTTTCGGAGTGGGTGGCACAGGAGACGACGGCATAACTGTCACGGGCCTGTTGTCTATGTACGTCTTAACGCTGGTCTTGCGCTGGCGAAGGTCTGAGTGACGTTGCTCTTGATGCAGGGTGGTCTGATGTTGCTTTTGACGCACGTTGGTCTGAGGTTGCTGACCTTGGCCTCGTACACGCGAAGGAACAGGTTGCGCAGGAAGGCGGAGGGTCCAAGCAAACGAGGTATGGCCTGTCCAAGGGTGTTCCCAACTTTGCGCGCAGCGAGGATCGTGCCATTGATCATCAGGTGCTCCTGACGGTCGTGAAAGTAGGTCTTGCGCAGGTCGCCGAGGTCGTCCAAGTCGGGACCACGTGTACTCGGATCGCCTCCTCGTCACAGTGCATCTCCAGTAGTCGGCAAAACGTCGAGGAAGTGGCGCCGGCGCTTGCAAGACTCCCCGACAAGTTCGCTCGCTGCTTCCTGCAGAGCGCCTGGAGGTTCTTCATGGCCATCTTCCCATAGATCTTGACGTATATTCGCTTCGGCATCCTTCAACATGGCGATGTCCTCGCGGCTTGGCATCCATTCTTCCCAACCACATGCGATTCTTACTTGATTGTTCGCCACCTTAATGGTTTTGGGGTTGACCTGAACCCATATGTTTTGCAGTCCGGGTCGTGGCTGATGAACCTGGCTAGGGCCCACGCACCTTTCTTGTGTTGACGTGATCTGCCGCTCCATCTCCAGAAGGCCACTGCTTGACCCGGTTGAAGTCCTTGTAGGTCTTGCTGGCGGCGCGTCTTGCGAAGGAGCGCCTTCTGATGCTTGAATTGGCAGAGCGCTCTGCCAAAGCCTTCATCGCAGCAGCCCGTAGAACTTCCGGACGTAGTGTAGGAGTGTAGGAGCGGCGAGATCACCAGGCTGAATGGGTCGCTGATGAGGTCGCCAATCGGTCTTGGGATTTCGCCGAAGACGGCCTGACACGGTGACCTGCCATGAGTAAACGTGCAAGAGAGTTGATGGTGTGGGTCGCAGCCATCAGGCACTGGTCCAGAGCTTCCTTGTCAGCAATGCCGCGTTCGTCCACCAATCTCTCGGTAATCGACCTCGGCAGTGCATTGCATCGCTCGATCTTCCCCAGGCGACGGTGCGCCTCCACAGGGATGACGTCGTGGACGACGCCGTGTCGCATGTAGCATGGATGACCTCGCCACCGAACTCGCCACCAGGATCACAGCGAAACTTCAAAGGTAGGCCAAATGGTAGATACCATATCTCTTGTAGGGTACGTAGTACATCTGAAGGTGCCCGACTTTCCAACAGTGGCTGAATGATACGAGGTTGCCTCACATGAAATGCCCAGCATCGCGAAGTTCTTGCCATTGATGACCCGCAGAGGTAAACTACGTCGGACTGGATCACCTCGCCAAAGTAGCCAGAGAAGGCGATGGATGAAGCTGGTGGAGGTTGCCTTGGCATCTTAACTAGTTCGAATGCAGCTGCCGCATCGTAGGGCGTCCAGACCAGACCAATTATCATCTTGCGGTTCAATGCGCCAGCGGCGGCCAGCATCCTCACCCGCTCATTCTTGGGGGGCATGACCCATATTCACATGGAGCCTGGCCAATGATGTTTGCAGCTTCCTGTCGACCTCATTGCCCTCAAACCAGATCTCCGTCTCGATGCCGGGAAATAGTTGACGACTGCCGCCAGGTAGATGAGGGGGCCCTCGAAGCTCAGGGCCATCACGTGGCGGTAGTTTGGTGGATCTTCAGCAGGTGGTTCAGGGTCAGGTACTTCTTGAGGTTGTTGGTTGGGGTACCCAAAGAAGAACAAACCAACTCGAATTTGGTGGTCTACCTCTGCTTGGGGCACTGCACAGAACTCAGATCTTCTGCCTCCAGAACGAACTCACCATCGGCACTCCGAAGTCCTTGGACAGCACGAAGGGCTTCTTGTGAGTGTTGGAGAAGCGCGCCTCAAGCTCGTTCAGGATGTGTTGCCAAGCTTCAGCGTCAGGGACAGAACGCGCGAAATAAGCGTCCTTGGCTATATGTGCAAACTTGGCAGGTCTGGTCTTCTGGCCCTGTGTGGGAGCACAGTAGGCCTGCTGATCTGCTGAAAGTTGGTTGCCCAAGTTCTGCAGCACGAAGTCGGAGTTGCTGACGGGCATGCCCTCGCTGTTCTCGGCCCCATAAGCGCCGGCGTGGCCTTCCGTCATGTTGACGTCGGGGTGGCCCAGGATGCTCTGGATGCGTTGGAGCCACTACAACCCAATAGACCCGTGAGACAAAAGTTTGTCTATGTACACAAATCCAAAAATTTGTCTACAGCTGTAGACAAAAATTTGTCTACATGTACAATTTTGTAGACAAAAAGTTTGTCTACTGTAGACAATTTTTTGTCTACAAAGTCTGTATCTGTAGACAACAATTTGTCTACGTAGACAAATTTGCCGGCTCCGGAAACTCGAAGTTTTGACAAAACTTCGGATAAACTCCGGACTGTTTCTCCGAAGTTCGTTCCAAGTTTCTTCGGAGCCCTTTGCCAGGGGCAACGTCGAAGTTTGCAAGTGGAAAACCTGAGGTTTGGTTAAAACTTCGGAGAAACTCCGACTTTGTACCTCGAAGTTTGTTCGTAGCTTATCCCAAGTTTACCAGGAGTTTCTCCGTAGTTTGGGTAGACAAATCTGTCAAATTTGTCTACGTATACAAACTTAAATTTGTCTACTGTAGACAATTTTTTGGTACCCCCCCCCCCCTTCCACCCAAAACCTACATTTTTAGTAACCCT